TTTTTTTTTTTTTTTTTTTTTTGTTAACGTATTATTTCTTTTCCCCCCGATAGAAATGAGAGAAAGCGAGTAATGAAAATTCGTTTGCAAAAAAACAAAAAAAAAAAACTGTCAAAAAAAGAAAAAAGAAAAAAAAGAAATAAAAGAAAAGAAATGGAAAAAGATGATATAAAAAGAAAAAAAAGAAAAACAAAAAGAAAAAACAAACAAACAAACAAACAAAAAAAAAACATTCTAAAACTTGTGAGCGATAGCATAATCAAAGAAGCAACCACCAACTAAGTTCGATTGTAAAAGTCGCTAAAGTTACAAAAAAAAAAAAAGAAAAAAATTCGATTTTATTAATTATTTACAATTGACAATTTGATTTAATAAGATTTTAATATTGTTTCATCCAGGATAATGTATTATTAAAACCTTCTCCCCATTTTTCTTCTTATTCTTCTTTTTATTATTATTATTATTATTAATTATTATTATTAAAATTATTAATTAGTATTAAAATTATTAATTATTATTAATTATTATTATTATTATTATTATTGTTATTATTGCGTGGCGATTTAATTAATCGCAATGATTGATTCGTAAGCGGGGATCTCTGCGTAGTTTTAGTTTCAAAAAACAGTACACGAAAGATGCACATTTAAAATAATTAATTATTTTATTCCCCTTCATGAATCGTTTTGATTGATTTACTAGCATATCATCATCCCTTTTGCAAATATGTTTATTTTGAAAAAAGGGCTAACGAAATGTTTTTCCACCCTCGTTAGTTAGTATTTCCCTTATCTTGCTAATAATACGCGCGAGATCGCTTATTTTAAGATATATATATATATACTAGAAAAATAATTTACTTAGTAGGACACAAATACACACACACACAAACACACACACGAATATACTTATATGTTAAATGTAAACGAATTGCTGTACAATTCAATCATCAAAAAAAAAAAAAAAAAAGAAAAAAAAACACGAAAAATATATTATAAATGTAAAAGGAGAGAAAAAAAAAAGAAAAAAAAAAGAGATGAAAAGTAATCGATGTCCATTGAAATTTTGTACTTTTTCCATCATCATCATCATCATCATCACACACAGAGATATATATATATATATAGATTTATAAATATTTGATTATTTGAAAATAATCCGATACACAACACGATGAAGAACAAAATTTACGGTATGTGCTGATGATATATATATATATTTTCAAAATTAATAAGTTTTTATTATTTTTTTTTATTTTAATCACACATATATATATAAAAGAAAATTTTTCGTATATAACGTTTGAACTAGACATTCATATAAAGTCCCTCATATCTCATTTCTTTCTCTTTGAGTTGCGTTAAAAAAATAAATTTAAAAATTTTATCTTATAATATAAATCACGTCACGTCACGTTGTTTGTTCGCAATGGACTCCTAAATTACTGAACCGATTTGAATAAAATCTTGCACACTGTCTGCAGTTTCATTCAATTTGAAAGATAGAATAGTTTATAAACTCAATTTATAATCGCAATATTATTTTATTGCAATGTATATGTTCATTAGGAAAATTTTACTCATCGAGAATCCTCGGTTGAATAATTGCAGGTGAATGGTGTTGGTAGGTGGTAGGTGGGGTAGAAGAGAAGAGGGTGCATGCTAAAATCTGATGTGTGACAAAAGTTTTAACTGTCCTAGAATATTTTCACTTGAAAAGTTTTTATTTAATACACTTTCGTTTATATATATATATATTATTTTGTTTTTGCTTTGCAGGTTATTTAATTGTATGGGAACACTTGTGTTAAGTGAAAAATTTTTTAATAGAAATAAATATATATACTACTATAATTTATTGAAATCATAATATTAAAAGATATAGAATTAAAAATTAAATGTATATTAGTCTTTTTTTTTTTTTTTTTTCATTTCTTTTCTTTTATAACGCATCAGATATTTGTATGCATTTTACAGAATTGCAAATAAATTCATTCTGTGTGTAGAGTCAAAAATCGATTGATTTATCGGTTGAACGTGATTTTTAAAAAAATGTGACAAATCACAGATTCATAAATATTTTGACAAGAAAAATTTTGAATTTAAACAATGATTTTCAAAATGATAAAAATAATAAAATATACAATTGAAATATATCGATACACAGCACTTATCGTTACGGTTCGATTGATCAATATCGCGTTCGATTAAAAAAAATTGTAAACGAAATATTTTCTATATATATAAAAAAAAAAAATCAATATAAATATATATTTCATTATCTCGATGATTGAAAGATAAAATTGCGATAATAATAATAATAATAATAATAATAATATAAATAAAGAAAAAATAGTAGAGTAGTTGTTTATGTGTCATTAGAAGATAATCATTCACTTGTGTGTCTGAAGAAATATAAAAAACAAAAACAATGTTTATGCATGAAAAAGGATTTTTAAAAACACTCGTTTGACTATTTTAAATGTGAACATGCGTAGTACGAATTTTGCGCCTTATGGTGGGGGAAAGTTGGTAGCAGCGTGCAATATGATAACGGTAGTTCAGGTCGCGCTTCAGTTTCGCGTCAACCTTTTCACGTGCGGGAGATTATGGTTTGAACGTTATTATTATTTTGTTCATTCATTTTGTAAATTAATATCACAGTGACAAGTGATTTATAACAGGTTTTTCTTTATTTTTTTTTCAAATTTATCTACTTGCTGGTGATCCCTTTTTTATTATCGTACAAATATTATCGCGAATCTAATCATACGTTTTTCTGTTTTTTTTTGTTATTTTTCACTATCGTAAATTCAAAGGTTACTAAATTGATTCAAATATATGGGGAATTTGTGTAGTTTGTGTATTTTGAAAAATTCTAATTTATAATATGTTATTTTTGATTTAGGTTTTACAGTTTTTTTTTTGAATATTTAGGAAGATTCGTCATCGATTTATCATTAGATCGATGTGATTTATTTTCAATATAATTTAATTTATTTAAATATATTTTGTTGTGTGCGTATCTCAACTAATGCGTTTCAAATTGGCAAGAACATATGATTGAAATTATAATAATGAATTATTTTTAACCCTTACAGAGTGCACATGGGACGTTTGACACCCCCAACAAATTTTTCATCTCTCGAAAATTATACTGAATTCGAACAATATGGGCTTATTTGTCTAGTGCCATCTAGTGTTAATTTAGATAGGTATAAAACCTATTCTATTTTAGAAAAAGATGTATCATACTACTTTTAATAAAATTGCGAGGTTTAAATATTAAAATAGCGGGCTTCAGAAGACGCGTTCAAACACGTTGAAGGGGGTGTCAAACAAACATCCACAGTGCACTTTAACCAAGTGTGCACTTTAAGGGTTAATTGCAGTTACAATAATTATATTTTGTTATTTATTGATATTTTATTAATTTTGTATATAATATATTTGTGTATATGTGTTTCTATAGAAAATGATTTTTTTTTAAGAATCCAATTTGAAACTCATAGTTCGTAATATCAATTTCTATTTTATATATATGTGTGAAAATGTGAGATGTGATTATGTGCAAATGTGAGATTACTCACACATGAATCGTGGATACAGGATTTATTTCATAGACAACATAGAAGTATGAATCAACACCATGAGAATAATAAGACCACCCTACCTTCGAGGTAAGTTTTATTTTAATTATTATTATTATTATTAATTGTGCATTAGGAACTTGAAAGTTCATTGCTAAATTCCGCCATTGTTCCCCCGTCCCTGAACGCGATCCTTCCATTTGCGGAAGAAAAACAACATAAAAAAAATTAAATTATATTCTATCCAAAATCAAAATGGCAGAACATTATGCGTGGTAGTAATTACCAAAAAAAAAAAAAAAACACGAATTAATTGTGTTAGAAAAAACAAACAAAATGATCGATAAATAAATCGATAATTCTAAAAAAAAAATGATTTCTATCTTCGTAACCATCATCGTCATGGTGGTCAAGTTTTTGGCGCATAATTCGTGACGATTATCTTTCGTCGCAAGTACTTGGGGGCGGGGCGGGGTAAGGGTGGGGGTTTAACAAAAAAAAATGTCGTCGTCGTCGTCGATGAATATATCTTGATCGGGCTGTGGCACCCTGGTTGGCGATGGTTTCTCTCCTCCATTG